AGGAGGATCGCAGTTTGAGGCCAACCTGGACAAAAAGCAAGATCCTATCTCAACCAGCAAGCCTAGTATGGTACCACATGTGTCCTCCCAGCTACTCAGGAAACATAAATGGGATGATTGTGGTCCTGACTGACCCCAGCCCCCCAAAAAAATGCAAGACCCTGTTAGAAAATAAAGCATAAAACCCTGAGGCATTGGTCAAGTGATAGAGCACCTGCCTAGCAATGGGAGGCTCTGAGTTCAATCCCCAGCATCGCAAAAGGAACAAAAAGAAGAAAAGCCACAGTTCTATTCCTAGGACATTCTGGAACCCACAAAACTATAGTGAGTGGATGGGGGCAGGTCTGGGGTGCTTGGAGTAGGAAGAGGGTAGGTGAGAAGCGTGCCACGGAGCTTTCTGGTCTTGACTTGGGTGCATGGGGGATCAGTTACATAATTTGTAACTAGTGATGTGTGTAAACTATAAATGTATAAAGGTTTACATTGTATGATTTTGGGGTTTTGAGGGCAGCATTGGGATTTGAACTCAGAGCCTTGTCCTTGCTAGGCAGGCACTCTACCACTCGAGCCACTCTGCCAGCCCTAGTATGTGTAAGTTTTTATCTCATACCTGTGAGGAGGGCTATCAGCAAAAAAGATGAGCCAACAAGTATTGGTGAGAATGGGGAGATAGAGCCGTTGCACACCACTGGTGGGATTGTAAGTCATAGCCATTATGGAAAGTGGGGGAGAGCTTCCTCAGAAGATTGTAAGTGGGACGACTGTAATCTCCAGAAGTCGCACTACTGGGTACGTATCCGAAGGAAACAAAGCCAGTATGAGATCACACGAGGGTCAGCCTGAGCTGCATAGTGAGACCCTGTGTCAAAATTCAGGGGCTAGGAGTGCAGCTCAGTGGTTGGGCAGTTGTCTAGTATGCATGTAGGCCCTGGGTTCCATCCCCAACACCACAAAAAAGTAATCAGGACATTTTAGCCGGGCATGGTGGTGCACATCTGTAATCCCAGCACTTGGGAAGCTGAGGCAGGAGGATGTAAAGTTCCAGGCCAACTTGGGCTCCAGATCAAGACCCTATCTCAAAAGAAAAAGATAATGGAATCAACCTGTGTTCATTGATGGGCAAATGGCTCAGGAAAATGTGGTGTATATTACTCCACACAGAGGAGTACTCTTCAGCCTTTAAAATGCAAGAAATAAGGCCAGCGATGTAGCTCAATGGTGAGTGCTTGCCTGGCATGTGTGAAACTCTGGGTCCTACCTCTCGTGTCACTAGTAAAAGAACAGTAAAACCAACTTAACACTGACAATGCAGATGGACCCCGAGGGTATTATGCTGAGTGAGACAGGCCAGGCCCTGGAAGACACACTTGTGTGCAGAACCAACTTGAACTCCCAGAAGCAGGGGGCAGAAGGCCTGCCTGGGGCTGGGGAGGAAGGTGGTGTTGGCTAGAGGTGCCCCTCTGCCTTCCTGCAGGTGACTATGGTGAGTAACCATGGAAAGTGCTACGGGAGTGGATTGATTTTTTTCCTTGCAGTTTTCAGTGGTAACTCAGGGCCTCGCGCATGCACTCCCCACTGAGCTGCACCCTCAGTCCAGGACGCGGATCTTAAATGGCCACCATGAAAGAATGGGAAGTACTTGTGATAGGTATGTTTGCTAGCTTGATGTACACATGCATCAGAGCATGGTGACGTACACCTTAATTAAAGCCTTTTTTTTGGTCAGTTGTACCTTCATAAAACTAGAGAAGTTAAAACTTAGATCTCAATAAAGCTGATCTAAACAAATACCCAGTGTGTGACTGAGTCTCAGTCCACTGCCTGCCAACTTCCCTGAGGCCAGGGTCACCCTCCAGTGTGTCCCCCAGTAACCAAAATCTGACTTCCACCCTGGTGTGCATGGTACCAAAGGCTTCATGAGAGATGGAGGAGGCAGTCAGGTCCTACCTAGGTCAACAGGACTGGCTCCAGGTGCCTTTATTCATGGACCAGCAGCAGTGAACCCTCCTCCCCCAGGAGGGAGCCCTTGGTCATGGTAGGATGTGAGCCTAAGTCCCATAATCCCCCTGGAATGTGCACTTCCAGCCCGAGGGCTCGTTTGGCTTCTGGGCTTGCTTGCTCACGGGACAGGCATTCCCATCTCCCCAGCAGCTGGCCCGGTGCCTGTGGGAACCTGGGAAGGGGGAGGACAGAAGAGCGACTCTGCCTTCTGGCTTACTGCCTTCTCTCACTGCAGTTGGGAGGGATTACCTAGGTTGGGAATTTAATGTTCATCCCTCCTCCCCTTCATGTGTTGAAATTCTCAGCCAAGGTGACGTGGCAGGGCTTCCCCAGTATGAACATCTTACACGGCACAGCGGCAGAGTCAAGGCATTGGCACCGATGAGTGGCCTTTCTCTGACCCGGTAAGTCTCAGGCTTCTTTGCATCTAGAGACCTCTCCCGGTCTCAGCCAAGATAGGGTAACAGCTACTCCTAGTTTGGAGCATGCCTGCTAATTCTGGCAGGATTACTGAGGCTGTGCCTAGCTGGGGTGCCGCCTTGTGGGGGCACAGATGTTTGTCTGTCTAGATGTTTGTCTAGTTAGGTTGCTGGGTTTAGCTGCTAGATGCCAGAGTGCTGTTTTTCCCTATTGTAATGACTGCGTTTGTCATGGGACACTGAATCTATGACCACAAATGGAATGTTTGGAGAGGGGAAGGGAAGGAAGTGGTATATTCACCATGCTGCTTGTCAGCTTTCCTGTCAAGGCACTGTTGAGATTAAGGAAACAAATCAGCCAGTTGCTGGTGTCTCACGCCTGTAATCTTAGCTACTCAGGAGGAAGAGATCAGGAGGCTCACTGATCAAGGCCTGCCCGGGCAAATAGTTCACAAGACTGAATCTCCAAAATAACCAGAGTTTTGCTCTGGACTGGAGGTATTACTCAAGTGGTAGCACTCCTGATTTGCAAGTGCAGAACCCTGAGTTCAAATCTCTAGTCCCACCAAAAAAACAAAGAAATCAGCCAGGCAAAATTTCAGAGGAAAATGAGGAGGCTGCTGTCACTAGGGGGCCACAGAGGATTGAGATGAATTCAAAACCAGCTTGGGGTGGGGGGATGGAGGAGGACTCAGAGGCTCAGGCCAGGTCTAGCAGGCAGATGCAGGAGTCCTGGTTCCACTCGGCTTGCTCGCTCTGAGGATGGCATTCCCATCCTAACCCAAGCTTGCCATTGCCAGGTTGCGGGGGTTACGCCTCCTCAAACAGGCTCCCTGCACCTGGACATCTTCAGGGGGCCTGAGAATCCTTGGGCCTGGCAGCAAAGTTGAAATGTGCTCAGGGGTTACCGGTTCAGACACTGGTTGCCACCCCATGAGCCACCTCTGAATGGGGAATTTGCTGCAAGGTTATAGGATACTGTTAAGATCAAATTTAGAGCCTCGTGCCCTGGCTTATGGCAGTAATCCTGGCTACTCAGGAGGCAGAGATCAGGAGGATGGCGACAGTTCAAAGGCAGCCTGGGCAAAAACTCTTGAGACCCATCATAAAAAAAGGGCCAGAGGAGTGGCTCAAGTTGCAGAGTGCCTGCCTAGCAAGTGTGAGGCCCTGAGTTCAAACTCTAGTACTGCCAAAAAAACCAAACTATAGCAATACTGAAATAAAAGTTTTACAAAGCTATCATGACCTGTATTGCATGAACATACCTGATGATTTGGATTTTTATACTGGTCTGCTTTAAACTGATCAAAACTCACCAACTTGATGTCACAAGCTGCTTGGTTACTGTTGGCCACACAGCCCCTGTGGCCCCTCCCTCTGGGTTCTCTTATTGCTAGGGCACAACTCCAACTTGCCCCCCACTTCTCCCTTGCATAACTTTAAGAAGCACCTAACTGCCCCCAGCCTTCCCCCTTCTTCCTGTTGGTCCTCCTGCCTAGCCAGCTTGAGTCCATCAGCATCTTCACTTGGCCACTGTGCGTTGCTCCTCTCAGTGTTTTCTTTTTTTCCACCTCCGTGCTTCTGGAAGCCTTCCTCCCGCAGTGCTGGCTGGGCACACTGCCCTGGGTTTGGGACAGAGGCAAAGGACGGCGGCTCACCCACAGAACTATGGGAAACAGTTGCCATCCGTTGTAGGCGACTATGGTGTGGGTGTAAGTGCTCTTAACTGGCTGGGGGGGCACCAGGAGGCCTTCCAGGAAGAAGTGCCAATTAAGATGAGTGCTGAAGAGGACGGCACCCCCAGGGGACTCCGGGCCATGCCTGGGGATGCCTGTGGCTGGCAAGAAGTGGGTAGAGGCCAGGGACGCTGCTCAGTGACGTGGAGGGGAAGAAGGCTTGTTGAGGGCTCTTCCTAGCACTTTGTATTAACATTTCTCACTGAAACGCCGGTAGGTATTTTTATCATCGTTCACATGAGGAAAGTGACTGACAAGTGATTTCTTTGAGGGTACAGCTGGCACTGTGGACCCCTGCTGGCTGACGAGGAGCTGGGCATGGCAGAGACAGAGGTGGCTGGGTGACCAGCGTGCTGAGGGGCAGGTGATGCTGCAGGACCGGGTCTGGGCTGGACGTGGGGAGGATGTCTCAGCAGCCATGCTGAACTCCTGTTAGGTGCCCATGAGTCTGAACTGACAGCCTGTGGGAAGGGGCGAGGTGACTGAGGGGTGGGGGAAAAGGGTCTGGAGCAAGACCCAGGGACAGAGGAGCAGCAGCCAGAGAAGAGGAAGGAAAACTGGGGATGGGGGAACTTCCCAGCCAGAGAGTATTTCTCCCTTCTTAGCAGTGTGGGGTGTCCATGGGAACCTCCAGTCTTGCAATGAAGTTCTTGCTATTAGTTTGGGGCTATAATAGCAGCTCCATTATCAGGGACCCAGAATCCATCCTTCTGTTTTATCTTGCTCTCGTGACTTCCACCTCAAGGTCCAATGTGGCTGTTAGTACTCCAGCCATCATGTTTGCATCTCAGCCAGCAGCCTTCATGTTCCCATGTGCACCTACCTTGGAAGATGGTCAAAAAGAGTAGGAGAAGGGACACATGTGGCCACTGATTACCATCATGTCTCCTGAAGGCTCTCAGTAGGTCTGAGATTCCCATTATCTATCTGTGTGGCACCTGCCTGGTGCCTTACCCAAGGGAGCTCCTGGGAACTTGATGGCCTGTGGGCCTTCAGTAAGCTCAGACCCTCTCCAGCTCCAAGGGCAGAAACCATCCTGCTCAGGAGCCTCCACTCTTACCAGCCTCTCTGGACCCCAGGTAGGGCCAGCTCTCGGGAGGCTGGGGGCAGTGGCCACTTGCTAGGCCACCTGGTGTCTGCTGGACTTGACTCTGGGGCTTCAGGTAGGGGGAACACAGGGGGCAGACTGCCTGAGCCTGGCCCTGGCCGGGGGGAGGGGTGCGTGGATTCTCAGAGCCTGTCACGGAGTCAGCTGGGACACTGGCTTAGCCAGAGAAGCAGCTTTGGGATCAGCTGACAGGTACATGCAGTCACTTCTGGACGCAGGCATGTGTAGTCTGGAAGCGTCTGTGGGGTCACCAGCTACTGCATATCTACTTATTCTGGGGCATCTGGGTGGGTCAGGTCTGTGTGCAAATGTCAAGAACAGACACTGGCCATTCTAGGCACAGCATCCTTTTCTTGCCACCACTGGCTCAGAGCTGGCCTGGGGTACAGATCCTTCTGGAAGGCACCAGAATGCCCTGGGGCCAAAGGTTTTGTCCCTGCTCCCCACGGAGCTGCAGCCTGGGCCTCCCTGGCAGGCTGACTGTCCCAGGGCAGGGGACCCCAGAACCCTCCCCCCTCCCCCGGGAGCATCATGTGGAGGGCTGGGGATGGAGTTGTGGGTGCAACCCTGAAACAGGCATGCTCCCTGTGTTCACTGCTGGAAAACGAGAAGGGGCCGGGGCTATGGCTCCTCTGTCACCTCAGTTTCTCCCTGCAAAGGAGAGGACGAGCCAAGGCAGAGCCCAGACTATCGGACTCCACAGCGCCAAGCTGGTCATTACCATCCAGTCACGAGGCACTAAACGTTGCCTGGGGGACATTCTTCCCGTCTGTTTCATCTATGTCTCGAACTACAGACCAGACAAACGGAGTGATTATTACGGACTTTTTCTTTGAAAATAAGCACACATCTTTCCCTTCCTGCTGCACCCCCAGTGGGGTCAAGGGGTGCATGCCACTCCTGCTCCCCGAGAAGCAAGGTTTTCAAGGCCACATGAGTTACGTTAGTACCTTCTGTGTGAATGAGAACAAAACATGGGGGACTAGATACACTGCGATAAACACGCTCATAAGAAACCTTCTAAGAACAATTACAGCACAAAACTATTGGCAAAACATTTTTTCAAAAAGAAACTATTGCGGTTCAGTAGGTGGCACTTCCTAGACCAGAGAGAAGTTTGCGTGTCGGGACAGAGCTCTTGCACGCAGGGAGCGCAGTGCAACAGCCACGTCTTCACGCACGTGAATCCAGAGTGTCTTAAGTCTAGGGGCCTCATGGCTCCTAGGTTGTTTGTCCCTAAGAGGGGCTTTGACTGTGAAGAGGTCAAGATGGGACTTGCTGGGGTCAGAGCACTCGAGGATGGCCTATCCAGATGGAAGACGGCAGAGGGGCCTAGGCACCGCGTGTGGGTGTGACATGGCAGAGCGGCTGCCCTTGGAAGCTGCTGCGTGACCCTGACCGCTCGGGCCCTCGAGCAAACCCATTTCGATCCTGTGGTTTGGCTTGCTGCAGACGAGCTTGGACGGAACCCCTGGTCCTTGCCGTTGCCGAGCAAACTTCTGGTTTGGATTGTTTAGACACGAGTGGGCCGCTTTTTCTGTGGCTTGTTCTTTTCTGGGCTGTGGATCCATCCGGGGCCTTGGCCTTTGGCATCTGGAAATGGAGCTCCTGCAAGGCTGGCAGCCCCTCCTGCCTCAGCACAGCCTGGTGGGTAGGAGGCCTAGGCCGCCTGTCCACAAGGCCAGAAGGGACACGCTGAGGCAGGTCCTTCACACCCAGGGGCACCAGGCCAGGGCCTCTGCCTCAGCTCCCGAGGTGGGGCAGGGCCCAGTGGGGAAGGCCACTCCTCCCTCCTGCTCAGCCAGGCTTGCTAGAGAATCACTGTGTAAACCGGCAGCTGAATGCAGAAGTACAGCATGTGGGAGCTGCGTTCTTAGCGCTGTCCTCCCGGCTCTCAAGGGGACCTGGACCACGGCTCACACGAGTGGCCCAGGAACAAGTGGGTGCTTGCAGCTGCCATGGCCAAGGGAGCCTCCGCAGGAACTGTGGCACCCTGGTGACCGTATTTCTTCTCGAACAGTCTCTCATCCTTTAGTCCTTTATGGGCACACAGACCACAGGGCCCTCTTAAGTCAGAGTAAACATCACACCATCTAAGAGGCACTAACGTGGTGGAGCCAGCTGAAGGTGTCCTGGGTGACACCTTCAGGAAGCTGGTGGCAGGTACCTGTGGAAGGTGCTAGATACCCTGCAGCGGGTGGCTGGGGTCACTGCGCTCCCGCTTCACCAGGGGTTCGCCCAGACTGCGGGCATCGGTGTCAACCTCGCTGCTGCGCCTATCACTGATGTCCTCTGTGGGGTCAGTATGACAGGGACAGAGAAGCCCATGATCAGAGAGGTGGCAGCCTGTGAAACCTGCCTGCCCTCTGCTGTAGGTTAACTTGTCACCCCTGGGTCACCCACAGGTACCCCCAGGCTGGACATCACCACAGGGAGGCTTCAAACCTGTGGCCTCCCTAGACTGGTGCCCACTGGCCTGGGCCATGTTCCCAGCAGCCTAGGATAAGAAATGGGCCACTCTTCCACAGATGTGGAGCAGGAGGCCTCACCACCCAGGCCGCCTGTGGCCTCACTTCCCTGGCTCAGGTTGAGGGTGCTGGCTCTGTGGGGCCCTGCTAAGCTGTCAGCAAGTGTCACAGGGCCTCATGCCTACTTCTCAGGTCACCCCACCATCTGCCTGCTAGCTCCTAGAGTCTGCCTATGACTTGCCCAGGAGCTGCCCGTTTTCCATCACGAGCCAGGGGTGGGAGGTGGGGGTGGGTCAGAGAGGCAGGGAGGCCTGGACTCACTTTTGTCGAGCAGCGTCAGCGACAGAGAGGAGAGGTCGTTGAACTGTAAGAGAAGCCAGAGTGAGCCAGAGAAACCCCATGGAGGGGTCTAGGCTGCTACAGCCCCAACAGCACCTGAGCAGTGCCCTCCACTCAGGGTTATGTGGTTTCTTGTTCTGTTCCCAGGGCCCTCATCCAGGAGGAGCCATTCTGATCCGTTCCAGCCCACCTGGGGGCGACTGAGTGGAGGGGGCTGATGGCACAAGCCAAGGGCTGGAGCCAGGGGCCCGTGGCTGGGCACAGAATCAGCCTGGTACAGTGTGGGGCCAGCAACTTGCTCTCCCAGGCTCTGTGCATAGCTTCCTCCAGGAACTGGCACCTGGGTCCACAAGCAGAGCCCAGACATGGCTTCCCATGGTTTCTGGGCCAGGTGTGGACCCTGGTCACTGCCACCGAGGGCTGCGGCCTCTTAGATCTTAGTAAGAGTAAGAAGCGGCTGCCATGGGTTGCAGGTGCCTTTGTATTGAAAGTTTTACAAGCACCGCCTCACTTCTTTTTCGAACAACCCCACACAACCCAGCAGTTGCACTCTAAGTATAGATCCCAAACAGAAGTGCAAACACACACTTGTGCCTGTGCTCACGGTGGCATGATTCACAGCAGCCACAAGGTGGAAAGGGCCCAGTGTTTATGGGCACCAGTGGACATACACAGTGTGGTCCATCGACATGCTAAAATACTACTCAGCCATGAACAGGACAAGACTCTGACCCACACTATAGCACACAGTGCTCAGAGAGAGAAGCAGGCATAAAAGGCCCCACAGCGTGTGACTCCACTAACAGGAAACATCCAGAACAGGAGAATCCAGAGATAGGAAGTGGACTCGTGGGCTGAGAGTTGGGGAGAGAATAGAGCTTCCTATTGGAGTGATAGAGTGTCATAGAACTAGATAACACATTGTGAATGTCCTAAAACCCAGTGAACTGCGCACTTAAAAATGGTAAGTGTTACGTTTATTCTACTACAACTTTTTAAAGCCTGTGGGGGTGTCTGGGGCTCAGGTTTGGAGGGGTAGGGCAGAGGAGTAGGGCTGGAGCCCAAGCCTCCCACACAGGCTGCACTCACCTCTCCCATGACAGCGATAGGCGTCTCCCCAGTGGCCTCAGCCACACGGTTCTCCACCAGGTAAAACATGTATTCATCGTACAGCAGCCGGATGAGGTGGAAGGAGCCGAAGCTGGCGGCGCTGCGCAGCGTCAGGTCTCGGATCACCATGGAACTGGGGACAGGGACAGAACCAGGAGACTTGGAGGACTGGGCTTGGGGCTTCAGCCAGAGCAATTGAGCCTCGCTGGAAGCCCTACATGCCTGAGTTGCTCTTACCTGTCAGCTGTGGGCAGGGGGAGGGTAAGTGCAAAGGCCCTGAGGCACCACACCCAGAATAGAGCGTAAGGACAGGTGGAGAGCGAAGAGGAACTGGGCTGCTGCTGCAGGGGTCAGCAAACTAGTATTTGGTCTTGTTTGTTTCTTTTGCAGTAGTGGGGTTTGAACTCAGGGCCTTGCACTTGCGAGGCAGGCGCTCTCCCACTTGAGCCACTCCTGTAGCTCCCCCTCTGCCCATTTTTTCCCCTAAATCAGGTAGTTCATTTAAAAAGAACTACAACGGAAACTGAGTGCTGCACACCCCACTCCTTTTACTTTTTGTCTTTTTTCAGATATGGTCTCTTACTTTTGCCCAGGCCTCAGACCATGATCCTCCTACCTCTGCCTCCCAAGTTGCAGGGTCTGTTAAGTGTGTACTATCATGCCTGGCCATTCTCTTTTGAGAAATCCCTAGTAGCTGGTTATTGAGCCTCCTGTGGATGCGGTTGACAGTAGTATGGGTGGGCCTCACCCATTCAGATGAAAGTCCTTAGAAACCAAGGGATTTCTCCCTGGGGGTTGCAGCATCAGCTTTTGCCCAAGTCTCCAGCCTGCTGACCTGCCCTACAGATTTCAGCCTGATCCTTGAAATAAATCTCTCTGTACTCAATTATAATGTATTCACGTAAAATTTTTACAGACGTACACCTGACCCGCTGGCCCTCGCCCGAGTCACTCTGTGATGCCAGCAGGATACCAAACTATGGCTGTCTCTGCCTGTTTCCTGCATCTGCTGGGCCTGAGTGCAAGACCTCCAGCACCACTTCTGCTTTGGGTCACTTTCTGTTTGAGGTCCACTGACTATGTGGCCACTATTTTCTAAACTCTTATTTTTGTCTCTCACCTGCCATCCTCTGCTCCCTGTTCTTCTTTGTCTTTGTGAGTTTATACTTTAATTTTTTACATTATTTTGTGGTTCTGGGGATGAACTCAGTCCCTGGCCCTTTTAGGGACTCTCTCTCTCGGGGTTTGCTGAGGAACAGTATTGCCATAGAAGACCCCACCGGTGACTTGTGTCTGTGGAGGCTGCGGAGGTCTCTGAGCCCTGGGAACTGTCCACTCAAAGTGAGGCCCACACACAGCTTGGGTCCCTGCTTGTGGGGTAAAGTCCAGCCCCAGGCCTGCTGAGTCCTGTTTTCTCTGACCTCTGGGACCCCGAGGCTCTTCCCAGGAGGCCAGGGGCTTACCTGTAGAAGGACCATTTTAGTAGGAACTGGCGGGCAGCCCTGGGAAAGCTAGGGCTGCCCACGTGCTGCTTCAGCACCTGCGTGACCACGTCGTCCAGCCAGGCAGCCCACTGCTCCAGCGAGCTCTGCTGCTGCAGAGTGAGCTTGAAGTCCTGCTCCAGCCGCTGCACCACACTTTCTTCACACTGGCACACCCACGAAGCCTGCTCCTGTGGGAGGACAGCTGCTAATGCCCCTGGGCCTTCTGTTTTTAAATTTTCTTTTGCAGTGTTGGTGATGGAACCCAGGCCCTCACCTTGCGAATGCTAAGCACGCACTCTACCACAGAGCTATATCTTAGTCCAGGCCTTCTTGACCTTCACCTTCAGTAACTATAAGCTGAGCACCAAGACCCACATAAGGCCGGGTGCTGGTGGTTCATGTCTGTAATCCCAGCTACTCAGGAGGTAGAGAGATGAGGATGGTGATTCAAAGCCAGTCCTGGGGCAAAAAAGTTCATGAACCCCTATCTTGAAAAAAATCCATCACAAAAAAGGGCTGGTGGAGTGGCTGAAGTGGTAGAGTTGCCTGCCTAGTAAGTGTGAGGCCCTGAGTTCAAACCCTTGTGCTGCAAAAAAAAAAAAAAAAAAAGGGCAGGGCAGGGATTCAGAGGAGCCTGTTCTGCTTTGGAGACTACCAGCAGGTCTTTCTGGGTCAAGGCTCATATTACAAACCATCTTTATTTCGTTTTTAAGTGGTGCCTGTGTGAGCTGTGGGTTTTTTTTTTTTTTGATAGGACTGGGGTTTGAACTCAGGGTCTACACTTTGAGCTACTTCACCAGCCCTATTTTGTGATGGGTATTTTTGAGATAAGGTCTGGCAAACTATTTGCCTGAGGCTGGCTTGGAACTGCAATCCTCCTGATCTCTGCCTCCTGAGTAGCTAGGATTACAGGAGTGAGCCACCATGCCTGACTGCTGGGAGCATTTATAAAGAAAATGAACAGAAGTGTTATTCAGTGCCTGGAGGCCACAGGAACCTAAGAGACATAGGAGTGGAACCACAGGGCCATGCGTGGGCTTGCGTTTACCAGGCCCTGCTTCCTGCCACTCAAAAGGGGCCACCCCAGGTAAAGGTCAGGGCATGCTATGGGCTCTGGTTGTGGGTTTGCAGATTTTCCCAGGGTGGAAGGCCCAGGCAAGGAGGAGGGCAGGACCTAGCCTAGAGCTGACCCTGGAAGGTCACCTGTACGTTGGCGAAGTCCACGCGGTTGAGGTCACTGAGCATCTGGTTGATCTGGGATGTATTCTGCAGCACAGCACGGGCAGCCTGGGCCAGGTGGTTCAGTGACGTGTATCTCCGCAGCGTCTGCGCAAAGGCACTGACGACACCCACCTGTGACCCAGCCCAGTGCTGTCAGCCCTGCCCTGTCAACCCTGCTCCTGCCCTCTGCTCTGCTCCTGGGGGGCTGTGGGGACTTGGGACACAGCAAGGAGGAGGTGACAGGACCAGCTGCCCCAGCAGGGAACAGGGACCCCCTCTGCCATCGCAAGGACCCCAGGAATTGTGACATCTCCGACAGGTGCATAGCACTATCAAGCTAAGACTTGCAACAGTCTAGGTCTGCCCCGTGCTTCTAATGTTGCAAGCACCGTTCCCTGGGCACATTTTGGGAGCCTGGGAGTGCGAACTTGTCACACCCACACAGGTGATGCTCAAGTACACCAAGGTCTGTTGCTCTTGGCCTCATGGATCAAGTCCAAATTGTGGTAGAGAAACCAGGGGCTCAGAACTTGGGCCTCACCCACATCTAACAGTTTTGTAAGAAATGCCACCAGAATGCCAGGGATGATTCTTGGTCACTTTAGGCCAGAACCTTAAGCTTCAGATTTCTTACTTGTCACAAAACCAGAGTGGCAGAGTAATGGCAAGGCATAAAATCTGTTCTGGCCACAGTCTGTTCAGACTGACCCAGTGCTGTGGCCAGTAACAGCTTCTGCTGTCCCCAACCCTGCCACTCCCCTCCTAACTCAGCCTCCTAGGGGCTTCCCAAGGGGCCAGCCACCCCACGACACAAAGGAAGCCACTCTCAGCTCTGTAGTTCTCATGCTCCTCTCCTCCTGCCTGGCACACAGGGTCTGAGGAGTCCCCAGGGCTTGGGGACCACCGCTGTCCTCCCCGTCATGGATCGGGGCCCAGACCTGACTCCTGTGTTACCTTGGTCTGGATGACCTGCTGCGGGAAGTCGCTCATGGCATTTGTCAACCAGCCTTCCAAGCTCTTGGCAAAGTTCCTGATGGCCTGGGTCAAGGTACCTGAGACAGAACCCGGGGTGATGCAGAGGAGGCAGGGGGTGCCCCGCAGCACCCCATTTAGTGTAGGGGACGATGCCAATGTAGCCAACGCCCACCACGGAGGACAAGCGACAGAAAGGGAAGACAGAAGGGAGACGGGGTGACCTGAGGGCAGCTGGGAGCTCAGGACACCTGGTGAGGAGGTGCTGGGGGAGAATTAGGAATGTGCCATTTGTCAATGATCCTCTGTCTACCACGGTGATTCTCACCCAGGTGACCTGCCCAAGGGAACCCTGGGCCATGTGTGGGGACATATGTGGCTGTTGTAACTGTGGAGCCCCACTGTCCAGTCCCTCGTAAGTGAGGCCAAACAAGACACGCACAGGTTGGCTGTTTCTTTTTCCATCTAAGGCACACTAGTTTATTCAGAAAAATAGACTTGCCCAGTGCTGACCAGCCCATATTCACCCATCACCTGTCAGGCGTAACCCGCAGTGACCAGAGGCAGCGACTTGGTGAGAGCCCTTGGGCAGCTTCCTGGTCCTCTCTTTAGATTATGGGGACTTAAACTGAGCCTGGAGTGGCCCCTGGTGGTGGGTGTGATCACTACCACAAGGGCGGAGGCCCTGGGTTGCCTCTGGGGCACAGGTAGCCCCAGGCACACACATTTCTCACTGTGTCCCCCACTCCGACCCCACCCAATGCCCATGGAGTCCACACAGGGCACAGAGATGAGTGCTTCCTGTAGCGCCACACAGTAGGCAGCATTGGGTCTCTGCTTGGGGGCAGGTATGGGACCTGGCTGACACAGGCCAACAGCAGGGCCTGATTGGGGGTTCCTGTAACAGCTGCAGGGGTTGTGGCCATGATCCTGGCATTCCTCTTTTGTACAGGAAATGCTCCCTGGTTGACCAGGGAGCCTGGGATGGCAGGTGTTGGCATGTCCCTGGGACTGGGTGGGTGGCAACCCTGTGTGGCCCTAAGCAGCGGATCGCCAAGGCTACGCTCACCCTCCAGAAACCTTCGGCACCAGGCCTGCCCTGGCCACACTAGGAAGCATCCTGATAGCTGGCAGCTCACGAGAGCCACTAACTTGGGCGTGCAACAGGGGCGATTTCCCGTCAAGAGGAAACAGACCAGGATGACTGAGGGTACAAGTCAGAAGCAGGCACGGGGCGGGAAGGGAAAGGCAGGTGGGAGGTAGCGTGGTGGGGCAGAGCCATCTCTTACTGGGGACAGGCCGCAGCACATCAGGGATCAGGATCTCCACCAGGGCCTGGTACAGGATGTGGTCACAGCCCCTCATCCACTTGAGGATGGGGTCGTATTTGCACAGCGAGATGAGCTTGTCCTTGGGGAGGACGGCACCATCCGGCTCGTCATCACTGTGGGAGGAGCGGGGCAGTGTGAGCCCAGGAGTGACCAGGGTGTGAGGACCTTACAGAAACACATGGAGACAGGCCTCTGCAGGGTTGCTCCCCGGTCTCAGAGCACCACCCTGCATCCATGCTGCTCAGAGGCCACTGCACAGTGCCTCTGAATGTCCCCCATGATACATGCTGCCCCTCTCCTGCCTGAGGCCCAGGTCAAGGTCAGTTCTGCTTGAGATCATGTCACACGGTCCCATCTAAATCCTCCAGTAAAAGTCTGGTTTGAGCAAGAGATGGTGGTATATGCCTGTAATCCCAGCACTCAGGAGGCTGAGGCAGGAAGATTGAGAGGTCAAGGCCAGCCTGGAACAAGACCATGTCTCAAAAACAAAAAGACCCCCCCGCAAGCAAAAAAAAAAGTTTGATTTGAAGAGAGATGAGTAGCAACATGAATCACAACTCAACTATCCACATCTACAAAACTGCATGAAGGGGGCGCCTGAGCCCCCATTCTTGGGGAGCTAATGCAATTTGTGGGTCATGTGGGCATCAGTGGGTGACAGTCTGCAGGTTCAATCTGGAGGCTGTGGATTGGGTAGATGGGGCTGCAGGCCACCCTGGCCTGTGTGGCAAGACAATGGCTGTCACCTGGTAGGGAGAGAGGTGGGGCCGTCACTGGCAGAGGCCTTGGAATTCCAAAAGGACAGCCACAGCTTCTCAATGTAGTGAAACTGGAGGTTCATGACGACGTCCAGGGTGGCCTAGGAGAAAAAGCGGCCAGTTAGACGAGAGGTGTGTTAAAAGAGAGTCTCTCATGTGTCCTTAGACCACACCGGCAAGTAACAGAGATAAAGGCTGAGGCAGGGTCTTCTGAAGTCCCAAGAGGGACCACAGAAGGGGAAGAGCTGGAGGACAGAATGCCACATCGGGAGAGACTGCCTGTGGGTGGACACAGGCTCTTATCTTCTTTTTACCACCTAGGACATCTGGTGACAGGTAAATGCTGGCAGGCCTGGTGATGGGCATGTAGGGCTCTTGCCTGGCCTTGGGGATAGCTGAGCCACTACAGAGAGCCTAAGGCTGGCGCAGGAGCCCAGGGCTTGGGGGTGGTCACCTCGCAGTGCCGTCTGTACACCAGCTGGAGGGCCTTCACGTCGTGCGGTGTGACGCTCTCCTGCAGCAGCACATTGCCCAGGTCAGGTGCTGGGAACTCCGGGAAGACGTGAGAGACATCTGGGGAGGGACATGGAGTCTTAGGGACATGGGCAACTTTTGTAAATCTCAGTTTCACAGGTACAGAATGTAGACAATACTGCCATCTCTGAGGGATGATAAATAAGCTGCAGCCATGCCCAGGTCTGGGCGTGCAGGGGCATTGGGGCCAGAATTCCCATTGTCACGGCCCAGGGTTGGTGGAGTTGCCCAGAGCAGTGTGCTGGGGAGAAGGTGGCCTTGCTGTCATAGCAGTGACTGCCTGGAAACAGGCGTGGCACCCACCCGATCTCCCAGAGGGTTTTGTCTGGGTGCAGATCCTGTCCCCCGAGCCGTCCCCAGGTAAGAGGGCGAAGCACTGTAGATGTTACAGGTTCCTCACCTATGTACTGCTGGTGCTGTTGGCTCTGGGTGGCCATGGCCTGCTCTGGCGTGCTGTGCAGGCTGCTGTGGGAGCTGCTGTCCCCAAGGCTATCTGTTTTCTGGGCTGGCCGGTACCTGGGCAGGGGACACACGCAATTCCATGAGGCCCCAGCAGCATTGCCTGGGGGCACAGAGGACTAAGCAGGACTTAGTGTGGGTGTGGTGAAGTCACACAACACAAAATGGAGCATTTTATCCACGTTGAAGTGCACAATTCAGTGGGATTGAGCACACTCACATGGCTGTCCAGCTGTCCCCACCTTCCATCTCCCCAAACTCAAGCTCTGGCCCATTCAACACTGACTCCTCTCCCCATCCCAGTTCCTGGTGCCCACCAGCCTACTCTGATGACTCTAGGGACCTCCTGTGAGTGATGTCCTATAGTGTGTGTCCTGTGTCTGTGTATTTCACTGAGCATCACGTCCTCAAGATCCACCCACATTGTGCTAGCTGTCAGAATGTCCTTCCTTTCATGGCTGCATAATCCTCCGGTGTACGGAGGGCCCACTCAGTGTAATCCACTCGGCGGCGGATGGACCCTTGGACTGTGTGTTTCCCTAATATTTCTCCCCTAGCAGACAAGTGAACCTTCACCTGGAACCCCAGTCTTGACCCAGAGGGCAGGGGCGCAGGTGGCGTAGGAAAGTCAGGGACAGAACAGTGGCCTTCTGGAATGGTGTGTGGTGGGAAGAGCAGGGTGCTGCTGTGGGGGCTGGGTGTGCCTGTCACTGGAGGACAGTGGGCTGGGGCCTCTGGGAGTTGGGGAAGGTACGAAGTGGATGTGTGTGAACCATCTGGTGCTGCGGCTTCTCAGATGCAATGGTAGGCGCCTCCCTCTGTGGCGGCACATTTGTTTTTTCTGTTTTTGCAAATAAAGTTTTATTGGTATGTGCCACGCCCACTTGCACATGCGCAGCCCGCGCCACTTTTTCCCTGAAACCTCAAGAGCAAAACAGTTGTCAGGAGACAGGCAGGCCCGCCAGAGCTGAGGTATTTGCTGCCTCTCTCTTTACGGAAAAAGTCTGCCAAGCTCACCAAAAGATGAGCAAATCTGTGACGGAAGGGGAGAGAATGATGCATAAAACGATTTGGCCCTTCTGGCCATCAGATCAGAACTCAGGTCTGAGCCGCACCTTCAGTACTGAAGCCTGCTGTCCTGGCTCTCCCTTAACCTCAGAAAGTAAAGCTCACTGACATGGCCTTCTGGGAAAGGTGAAGCTGGAGCTAGAGAAGACCAGTAGTGGCCAGGGACTGGGTGGAGGGAGGGATGCCCCTCTGATGGTGGACACACCATTGTGCATCTGCCCGAGCCTGCGGGACGCGCAAGACCCAGTGGGAGCCCTGGTGTGGACCGTGGACTCTGGAGACTGTGCTACATCACTGTGGGTTGGTTCCCTGTAACCACCGCCTTGGGAGCTGTGTGTGCAGAGCAGATGGGAAATCCTGTACTGCCACTCAATTCTGTGCTGAACCACCTAAAACTGCCCTGAAATATAAACATAATTTTAAAATTAAACATCTGGAGGATCTGCTTGCTGGTTGGGATGTCGTACCTCCTGTTAGCCTCCTGGAGCTTCGAGTCCTGCCTGCCCCAGGACCTTGGGGTAAAAAGAGTTTGTTCCCTAGGTGGAAGCCCCTCCCTGGCTGTGTGCAGATCTCTCTGGGAACTCCTTTCCTTTGCTTTTTCCAATGGAGGGCAGCCTGGGGTACCCAGTCCAGGCTTAGGGGAAGGTGGTCCCAGGCTGGCCCTGCCCCCAGCACACCCACCTGGGCTTCTGGTGCATGGGCTGTTGTCTCATGGCCATGTACTGTGTGTCCTCCTGCAGCCGGTTCAGCGGGGAGTCGGGCTTCAGCCGGATCCCGCAGTAATGGTACTTGGAGTTGCCCCTGGAAACCAAACATCCCAGGGTCAGCTCTCTGCCGGCCCTGAACAAGACAGGTTGTCTCTTCTGGCCCTTGTTTTGGCCAGGCTGGTTTGCATTTCCTAAACCAGGGAAGAAATGTTCATGGGGAAATTCTGCACTCAAAAGCCTCTTGTGGGGAGCTCCAGTCTCGCATTTTAGTATAATAAAGGCTCTGAAAAGTCCTGCGGGGGGAGGGGGGGAGAACAAGTCAACTTTGTCTAATCCGGCTTGACCTACTTATCATTAACAACTCCTCCCATGATCTAACAGCATGAAAACATGGCAGAGCTTGCAAACCACTACTTTAGTTAATTAGGGGAAAAATGATGATTTCTTAAATAATTTAGTTAGGAGGACAGGTCGGGAGCCCCACAGGAGGGAACTCCCAGCTCACACGATGCCATTTCCCCAGGGTTGGCAACCAGCACAAACAGGAGATGCACAGCCCTTTCTAGAATAGGTACATATCTTATCCACGTGCTAAGGGGACGGGAAACAGGCCAGCATCTGGACCATCACAAAGGCGGAGGCCCTGTGAGCAGCGGTAGCTGCGAGCCCAGGAGCCCAGGGTTTCCTCTCCTTCCTCCCTGCCGCTTTCCTAAAGCCATCCTCTGAAGCGGACATTGGATATCATAGAACGAGGGACTCTGCTCCCTCAGACCCACAGCTATGGCAGTTCTAGGCAGCCGGCATGCCTGCTTTTGGGAGTGCACAAATGACCTTGTCATGACGTCTGCTGGGTATCACAGAGCAGGCACCAAGCCTGGTCAGTCATGGAGCCACATGACTCTGGGCCATGGGGTTTAAGTGAGTGGTGTGGCTTTTTTTTTTTTTTTTAAGCAAGAGGCCCATTGGCATCATTGCTGGGATAAGTCTGTGGCACCTGGGGTTTGGTGCTGCTGTAGGCCAGGAGTGGGCAGGGGCAGGCAGGGACAGACTGACCCCAGCACAGTGAAAAGCATCAAGAAGGTAAATCTAGCCGGGTCATGCCTGTAAACCCAGCACTTGGGTGGCTGAGGCAGAGCGATCTTGAGACAGCAGGACCCTGTCCCCAAATAAAATATAACAGGGCCAGGGTGCAGCCCATTGGAAAGCCCTTGCCTGGCATATGTGAGGCCCTGGGTTCTACCCCCAGTATCAGAAAAAAAATTAAAAGAAAGAAAAGAAGTTAATTCCAGGACTGCCATATAATGTAGGGGCTGCTTTGTAAAGAACGTGTCATTGTGGGCAATTCCAAGTGGAGAGAAAAACACATCCCATCACTGGTCCCCAAAGGAGGGAATGAGATGACAGCCCACGCCTCAGATGTGGCCCAGCCACAGCCAAGGCTGCTGCCCATCTGGGGCAACTTCAAGTTTACCCAGCGGCCACTGGAGTTGGGAGGCCACTGCAGGAGGAAGCAGCCCCGTGGGCTTGGGGAAGCCCCGTTTCTGGGTGAAGGAAGAGGGCAGCGGGCAGGGTGGAGGCCATGGGCCACCCATCACCTACCTGGTCCCCAGGCGCCGTGTCCGCAGCCCCATGAACACGGAGCGGATCAGCTTCCCGAAGGAAGCGGCATTCACGGGGTCCAGCTTGTGCTCCTGGCAGTGCCGGAGGTAATGGTTGTACAGAGAACTTCGGGGCAGACTCACGCCTTCGGCAGTTTCGTAATTGTCCAGCAGCCACTGCAGCTGGACAGAGAGACGACGCCCGTCAGCCCACAGCGCGGGATGCAGAGGGCTCAAAGACAACCACGTGCTTCCCTGTGCTAGCAAACCTGGTGGCGAAAGGCACGCGCACCGCCACCGATGTGTGCTGTGAGCACACGAACAGCTTCTCTCCTCGTGTGTTTACTCCTTGGTTTACTTTATAAATAAAACCTGCTCAGAATAGTTCAAACACCTACACACCCGCCACCTGCCAGTTAAACACCGAGTGTCTCCTAGACCTGCAGGATGGGAACAAATTCTGATGCCAGGAAACATGGAAGGTGAACCCAGGCCCTGCGCTCTGAGTTCAGTGACAGCGAGCTGTCAAAATGCCCAGATGTCAACATGCAAGGCAGAAGCTGAGGATTGTACCCTGGGGTCACTGTCAGGTGAGAACAGCACAAACCGTAGATCTGCACGCATGGGAATTGAACGCCCACCTGGCAAAGCGTCCTAAAGGGGGTGGCTTGGTTCTGATCCACGATAGTCTGATGTGTGACTCCAAATGGTCTAAACCAATGTCACAGTGTGGAGACAGGCAGGAAGGAGCCCTTGCTCCTGTCTGTGAAGGTCACACTCCAGAGCCCCGAGGGACTCCTGCTGCTTGGGCCCTTCCAGAGGTGCACTCCTGACCCCTGGCCCCTCCCATCATGGTGTGCAGGTGTCTTGCATGTCACTTATCCCTTGTCTCCATGCCTATGCACCTTGTAAGATCCAGAGATGTCCCTTGGGGAATTTCTGTCCGCTCCTTCCCCAGTGTCCCCTGTGCCTGCCACTCCCCATGGAGTCCCCACGGCAGTGCTTTCATTCAGGAAAGTTCAGATGTGCAGACAGGGGTGAGCAGCACATCTGGACCACATGCCCAGGGTCCAGGTCACCTCCTGTCATGCCACCCACCTCTGCATGTCCTTCCTTCCTCATCCCTCTGGCCCTAGCACACCTGCTGTGCGGCCCATGTTCTGGAAGGTAGAGGATGAAGATGGGAACAAGTCAAAGATCCAGGCTGAAGGGATGCTGGGCAGAGGCCCCTAAACAGAAGTGCAGAGGCCACGTGAGCCAGGCATGGATTTGTCTCAGAAGAGAGAAGCTGGAGCCGAGCTGCGGTTCAGGGCAGACAGGAGTGCGGCCCAAGGTTCTGTGTTGCCTCTGGGCACTGGACCCAGACTCAACCAGCCCTGCAGGTGAAGCCCCTGGGTAAAGAGCCCTGGAAGGGACTCGGAAGGTTCGCCACCCAATTCCTAAATTTTTCTGTACACTGTCAGCAGAATCATTCAACCAAGCCATCACCCGTCCCCTCATGTTACTACAAAGTCCTCCTCCAGCAGCAGTGGCCACCATGGTGTGCAGTGTCTCCTTTCCCCACTGTGAGCTGTCCATCGTGGGTGCCATGCACCCAGCCAGTTCCTACAACCCTAGGCAGGAGGAAAGTCTCCCGCCTTGGCCACTGGGGTAAATAAGTGATAGTGAAAACTAGAAACCAGGAAGGGACAGAGGAAAGAGGGGCCACGATGGCAGGCACAGGGGCTCCTGGCTGGCGTGTGAAATGTGGCCTCAGGGGCAGTAGGAAAGGACCTAGGAGGGGACTACCTTCTTCATACGTCTTTTGGGGACACAGGGTCAGGTTTCTTAGTCTGCTCATCCTCACCCTTGCCTTTCTCTTGCTCCAGACTGAGCCATTCCTGGGGTCTCATCCCTTTTGCTCTATGGGATGCTCATAGTTAAGAACATGTCAAGGTGAGCTGTGAACTCAACCACCAACCAGCGGCTCTGTCCTCTCCAAGTGTGCTCAGTGTGACCAGGTCGTCTGCTGTGGCCTGGCTCTCCACCTGCTACCTCTCTGGCCTTCTTTTCCCTTAGTCTGGATCACGGGGAGGACGGGGCTGCCTTGTGTCAGGGTCGTAGGGTTCCCAAGGTTCTCTTCTCAGCTCTTTCCTGGTCAGAAATTGTCACCTGCACGTTTACTTATTGCTGTGTCCCCTGGACCAGTGCTCTGTGAGGACAGAGGCCGAGCTGAGTCTGTTTGTGGGTGTGCCCCAGGGCCCTGGAGATGCTGTAAGATCAGCAGCCAAGAAAGACGACTGAGGCTACAAGGGGTCCCTCTGTCACCCAAGCTGGGAGTTCTTCCTTGTGGTACCTGTGTGACTGCTCACATGAAAAGGGTATGTGGTGGCCTGGACATCAAGAAGAAGGTAGCTGGGGGGAACCGCCTCTGCTGGCAGTCCCCAAAAGCACAATAATAGTCCTCTCTCCTACATTAAACTGTAAGAACAGATACTCCATTTGATCCTAGCCAAAAGCCGAGAAGCGATTCTCTCTCCCGCGTTGGTGGGCATGGGATGCGGACTGCATTCCCGTAAGCTCATGAACTGTGCTCGAGGGGCCTGGCAGGGCCCTGGACCCTGAGCCCTGGTGTGGTATATGTCACAGACAAGCATCCTGGCGACTTCAGTTGTCCTGACCATGCACTGTCCTCGTCCACCACCAATTTCCCCTCGCTGGGCTCAGGGCTCCTTGTATCAGGAATGGGACAGGGTCAGAGAAGGTCACCTTCCCAGCTGGATTTGGTCTACTTGTATTTGTGCTGTTTCTATGTCAACATCTGACACAAGCACAGATAATGCTTTCCAAAAACTCATACTCAGGCATCCATGTTTGTGATCAATTCTTGATGAAACAATTCAAATGCTTCCTTTGAAGGGGGATGGGATACCACCCCAAGCCCAGCAGGGGATCTGGGATCACAGGCACAGCCCCAGTGGACACATGTCCCTGCTTCACCAATGGAAGGCAAGTATCCAAGTCCAGACTCCTGCCCACCCACCTGGGTCCTCTGTCATCTAAGGTCTCCTTCCTACTTACAGTCACCTGTTGCTTAGCAACGAGTTGCATTGTGGGAGATGCATCCTTAGATTTTGCTGTTATGCAAACATCACAGCGCGTGCTGCACGTGGGTCACATGTCCTCCTACACACAAAGGTAACCCAGTAGACCCCTCCTATCTGTGGTCCCCTGCTGACCCAGCTGTCACTGTGTGGCTCATGGCTATATGGGGCAGATCAGCCGGATGCCGGCTCCTCCTCTGGCTGAGCTCGGTTCTTGCTGCACCGAATGCTAGCAGCAGCCCATGGAGGAGGAGGGTTGCAATGATGTGGCAACTGCGTTGCCCTTGACTTAGATAGGGCAATGGGGGAAATGCAGGGCTGCGGGGGTGGAGGTCAGAGTGGCTCTGAAGTGACAAGATGTTAACTCACACTGGTGGATGGACAAGCGAGGGGGCAGTGGGCCAGGCAGCCAGGCAACTGATGCCCACTGTGCCATCAAGGCAGAGTGAGGGGCAGGCACACTGGGCGGGAACAGCAGAAGAGTCATTATCATGGCTGCAGGCGCTTGTTGCAAGGCTTGGAAACAGCTTTTGACAAGGGCACTGCTAGTATTTGGAACATGAATAGCTCCCAAGGCCCGTGTGTTGAAGGCTTGGTCCCAGCTAGGCACTACTGGGAGCTGATGGAGTCTTTAAGAGGCGGGGCTTAGTGGGAGGCCTTCAGGTTATTGGGGGTGTGGCCTTGCAGGCAACTGTGAGAATTGGGTCCCTTCTTTTCTCAGTTTCACGTCCGTCTTGAGGCAAACAGGTCTCATCTACCACATGCTCCTATCATGGTGTCCTGGGCTGCCACAGGACCAAATCCAAAACCTCGGCCCAAATAAACCTTTCTTTCTAAGTTGAGTCTCTCAGGTCACAGTAGCAGACAGCTGACAAACATGGGCACTGTCCCTGAGCCACCAGGGCCTGCCTGCCATCTACAGCTCTGCCATGCTGCAATCCAGTGGGTCACCAACTTAATAATGGCCTTAATAACTTTTGTTTCTCAATGTAAAAAACAAAACGTCATACAATCCAAATGCAGTCCATCTAACACACTCCTCCTCTTCCAGGGTGTGGAAATACTAAGTGCATTTTAGTCCTCTCTCGGGACTCACTGGGCCCGCTTTGGGTCCCAGTGCTGCTGGCCACAGAGGTGCAGCCTCAAGAGGATCCTGGCTGCTTCCCTGGTGCCCACGAAGCCCCTGCTGCCCTAGGCTGGGACCTGGACTGTGACTGCCCTACACGATGGGGCTGGAGGACATTTTCTCCCAGCCCTGCCCATTTTCATGCCCTTCCTGTGTAGACCCTGCTCGAGGTCTCTTCCTTTGGGGATTTCCAACCCAGGCAGACCAGGGGACAGGGTAACTGAGGTCCCTGGCTGGCAGCAGGGGATGGGCCTGGGGCTGTTCAGGGATCTCTGCAGGGAGTGGTGGCCTTCAAGGCCACCAAGAACACTGGCCCACTTCTCACAGGTGACCATGAGCTCATCTATCCCATGGTTGGCTGGCTAAGGAGCCAGGACTGTGGCTGTGAGTCGTCCCCCCTCCCCAAGCTTCCAGAAGGTCACTGCCCACCGTGAGAGCTGTCTCAGATGAAAGCAATCCCAGGGACAACTGACTGGTGCACATGGCCATGAGGACACACTGGTCCACTATTGGCAGGTCACATCCTCTAGCCCTCTTCCTCCTCCTCCTCCCAACAAAATCCAAGTTCAGTTCGCTGCAGCGTGTGGTAGGTGGGCTTTCTAGAAAGAGCTTATTGTTACTTCCCTTGCTTTTAAGTCACCAGGTCCCAAAGCCCACTGACCAGGGCTCACTGTGGAAGAAAACCACTCAATGACAGGTCCCCAGAGAGAACACAGCCCTGGGCCAGGGCGGTGGGGTTACCTTCTAGAACAGTTGGTTCAAGAATGTGTACATGGAGGGAAGCAGCCAGAGTCTGTATTCCCAGTAACCACATTAGAAAGCCACAAGCATCCCAGCAGCCAGTGACAAGCAGCTTACGCAGTCCCCACAAGCATTTTAGCGGTCCCTCGGACACTGCTGCATGCTAGGCCCCTGACCCTGTTCTGCCTTCCACCTGAGGCTCTCTCTCCATGGCTGACTTCTCCAGGGGGCCCTGACGGCTGCCCCATGGTCACATGTAGCTGTGCTCAGCCTGAGCCCGCCTGCTCCTTATGGAGTAAGAATGTCATTCCGTGGCTTTCCTACACTGTGTGACCTGAGTTTAACACTTGGGGCATGGCGGGGGACAGGGATCTCCCCACAAGGAAACACTGAAGACTTCCGTCTCCAGGATTTGCCCACAGGAAGGACATGGCCTAAAAGTGAGGGGCAAGGGGTGGCCAGGCCCCACGCAGCCTGGGCCCAGCCCATAAACCCAGAAAGTTTCTGGACCTTTCTCTAGATTGGCTTCTGTCCCCCAAATCATGGGCTTTTGGGTAACAACCCATTTTGAAGCAGCAAAAAAGTTTTGGAGTCACAGTTAGGTATGGAATTCAACAAACGAGTCCCCTTTCTCTTTGATGTAATTCCCAGGGGAACACCAAATCCCAGGGCTATTTCAATGGCTCGAGCCATTAGGGCCTCAGTGGCCGGCCCTAAAACCCAGCACTGGTTGGGCGTGTTAGTTCCCACCTGTAATCCCAGCACTTGGGAGACTGAGGCAGGAGGAGGATCACAAGTTTCAGGTCAGCCTGGGCGACATAACAAGACTGTCTCAAAAAAAAAACAAAACCCAAAAATGTCCAACACATTTATAGTTATGTGCAAAGATGGATGGGTAGCGCCTGGAGAATGAGAGGGGATGTGGGTGAGGGACCAAAGCTTTGTTTCTTAACTGTCCCTGAAGCTAAACTCCCAGTCAGTCCCTCCTCCAGGCCCAGCTGGCCGTGCAGCTGCCCTGGGCAAGGATGCTCACGCTTCCTGGATGGGACCATCTAGTTGCTTTATGCTTTTCTCAAATTACCATGGCTTTCAAAGAGTTAATCCTGGGACCATTAGTAAGTCATCTTTATGGCACTTCTGATTCTATGTCACTGCTGATCCTCCCGATCTCCACCTCCTGAATAACTGGGATTACAGGCGTGAGCCACTGCGCCTGACCGTTGTTGGGGTTTTAGGTTGACTTGTTTCTCCCTCTTAGCACCTTTAAGCTACCATTCCACTGATTTCACTTGCATTTAAAATGCCTACCACAGCTACACACGGAGCAGGGACAGGCACCGGTCAGACACGCACTTACATGGCTGTTGAGTAAGCCGCTTTTGTGGGGTGTGATTCCTTCGCTTTTTTGGAGGTTTTCAATCGCCATTTCAAGCTAAAGAAAATGTGTGCAGAAACAAAACAAAACAAAGTGGAAGGGAGAAAAAAAAGGAAATCAGATGGTTAGCATCAGCCAAGATTGGTTTTTATTAATATCAATGACGCGAGCGCCTATGCTAAGCGTGAGGCTTGACACAGGTGGGGAGGTGTTAAAGGTCAATGAAGCCGGGCAGGGAGCGGTGCTTGTCGCATGCACAGGAGCCAGAGCCCTGGGACCCAGCAGCAGCCTCATCATCGCATCTCACTGTGAGGACCAGAGCAACCCGAGGTCACTGTGGGAACTCCAGAGTCAGCAAGACAGTCATCACTTGGCCAGCCAGCCCTGTGCAAAGCCGAGGGCCACCTGCTGGCCACTTCAGGAAATATCAATGAGGCCAAAAAGACAGACCCTGTGGCTGGGAGGTGGAGGAGACTGGGTTCACTACAGTCACAGAGATCAACTCCTGCTACTTGCAACTTGTGAGCTCTGGGGAAGAGAGGATGGAGCCCAGCAAAGTAGGGAGGGCTTCCTGGAGGAAGGGACTTCCTGGGGGGGTGGAGGCGAGGATGTGGGCAAGGAGGAGGGATGTCTCTGCATAGGAGCTGAGCACCCAGGCAGGCGCAGCTGCCATACCTGCTTGTGTTCGGTGTCACCCAGACTTGTGCATGGGGCATGGGAATTCAAAGTCTGTCACAGCACACCATGACAGGTGGGGACCATAATACATGCTTCCTTTCCTAAAACTTCAGTGATGCTGGCTGGGCGTCGTAGAGCACACCTGTAATCCCAGCACTTCAGAGGCTGAAGCAGGAGGAATACAAGTTCTAGGCCAGCCTGGGCTACATAGTGAGTCTCAAAAAAACAAAAAGAACAGACTTCAAGGATGCTCCTGCAGAAGGTAGGTGGAGAGTTTCAGAGATAGGCTCCCCAGAGCTGGGTTAAGGACCAGAGGACCTCTGCTCCTGTGATCTCTCTGGAAGCTTCTGCTTCCTCTCATTTCTGGCCAGGGAGGCACTGGGGGAAAGGAGGACGGTGAGACCGTCCCCACCTGCCAGGCCCAGGTACAGGAGAGAAGGGGCGCTGCCTCTATGACAGACAAACACACAGAGCTCTGAGTGTCCAGGAACCCCGCCAGCAGTGTGGAGGCCACTTGACTGCCTGTCAGGCACATGGCTCCTGCCTCCCAGAGCGAGCAGGGCGCAGCCTGGGAACTTCACTGTGACCACACATGTGACTCTCTGGAAGTTGACCCACAGGTGGCCTGTCTGGGCACAGCAGGCAGGAAACATATCTTCTCTCCCATCCAGCAATCTCAACACTTTGGTCTAATGACTTCTCTATACTTTAAAAAAGGGCTGGGGGAGAGGCTCAGGTGGCAGAGCACCCGCTGAGCAAGTGTGAGGCCCTGAGTCCAGACCCCAGTACTGCCTCCCCCGCAAAAAAATTTTTTTGAGGCTCTCACTCTAAAAAAGAGCTTTTGGGGCTGGGATGTAGCTCGGTGGTACAGCGCTTGCCTAGCATGCGTGAGGCCCTGGGTTCGATCCCAGCACCGAAAAAGAAAAGACAAAAAAAAAAAAAGAGTAAAAAAGAGCTTTTGTTTTTAAGAGTTAACTCTATCAACAGTTTTATATTATAAGTTATAGTTGGGAGCTCGTCACTCCCACCCGTAATCCCAGCTACTCAGGATGCAGAGGTCAGGAGGATCGCGGTTCAAAGCCAGCCCAGGCAGAGAGTTTGCGAGACCCTATCTGGACAGCAGGGTCTTGTGCTTTTGCCTGAGGCTGGCCTGGGCCACAATCCTCCTACCTGCGTGTCCACACAGTTGGAGTTGGAGGTATGTGCCTCCACGCCTGCCCCATGACCGCCAGCTTCTCAGATGTTTGCTGCAATAAGGAATGCGCTTCTAATCCTTGGCTAGGTGAAGTTCCACTAGCAACAGCCACGACAATGGCGAGGCAACATCCACCCGCCCATGAAAGTAGTGAGCAGGTGGCAAAACCATTGGAATCCACTTCACCTGATGTTACAGCAACCAGACAGACCAGACCCAAAGAAAGACCAACTGAAAGCTGGCCTTTGAGAGACTCTGTCAAGTCACACACTGACTGCTGAGCCACCATGATGGAGAACACAGATTTCCCAAAAGGGGCCTGGAAAGGTCATTAAACAAGTCATCAGCAGTTGGTGCAAAACAGTACTAAAGACACCCAGTTTCCACAACAGATTATGAGGGACAAGCAGACAAGCACGGCCCACACAGACAAAACAGAAGTAAATAAGCTGGGCACTTGTGGCTCACGCCTGTAATTCCAGCTACTCTGGAGGCAGAGATCAGGAGGATCAGGGTTTGAAGCCAGCCTGGCAAATAGTTCGCAAGACCCTATCTCGAAAAAGTCCTCTCAAAAATAGGGCCGGCAGACAGGCTCAAGCAGTAGAGAGCATCTGCCTAGCAAGCATGAGGCCTGAATTCAAACCCTAGTGCTGCCGAAACAAAAAATACAAAAATGAGAGAGAAGTGACTTGTCGTGAACAAGGAAGAGATGTTCACTATGGATAACAGCTAATTTCTCATCAGAAACTGTGAAGGCTGAAAGGCAGGACAATGACAGATTCAAAGTGTCCCAAAGTAGAGAATCCCAAATGTCAATCAACAGATAAATGGGTGAACACAATGTGGTTGACCCGTACAATGGAGTATTATTTAACCACAAAAAAGCAAGCCATTCCAAATTAGCCTTGAAAACATATGTTCGAGATGTGTCACGTGAGATGTTTGAAACAGGCAATCCATCGGGACAAAAAGTGATTAGTGGTTGCTGGGGTAGGGGAGAGGTGATGGAAAGCCACAGCGAACGGGGACAGTGTTTCCTTTTGGTTGCACAGCACTGTGAATGCATAAATGTCGCGGAAACAGAATTTAAAAATGGTTAAATGGTGATTTTTATCAGAATAAAAACGTATATTACAACTAATTTAGAAATACATGAACCTAGCTTAGAATTTGGATGATTTCCTAGCATTTCTTAGAAAATTCAGGCTTGAGTTTTCAGATCTTCCCAATTTTGACCCATTCATTAAACAGCACCGAGAACTTGCATTTGTGGCTATCACACTGACCTCACCAGAAAGTCCGCCAGGTTCCACGTGGCAGACACAAGTTTTCCTTTTTTGGTTTGAATTGGCAACAGAATCCGGCATTTGTTTACCATGATACATCAGGTTTACTTTGTTCATGTTTGAGAAAGTCTTGGCCAAGTACCTGAGTCTGAATAATCATAGCTTGTCATCCTTCTAAGCAAAAAATGGCGTCTTAGGAAAGCCATGACTAGTTCTGTCCACAACTCAAACAACCATACACAGGCCTTTCCTGCACATAGCCATTGTGCCCAGTGGAGGAAAGCAGAGCGCTGGTGGCCTTCCCAAATCTACACACAATACGAGGTGAGCTCGAGGGCTACAGTTCAGAGAAATCAGTAATTTGTACTGCTTCACGGAGGACATTTTCTTCTCCTTCTCTCTCTCCTCCTTCCTTCTCTCCCTCTCTCCCTCCTCCTCTCCAGGGTCTATGTAGCCCACCTTGCCTGGGGCATAGCCTGGTGGCAGGGCACCTGCCTAGCAACGTGCCAGGCCCTGCATTCATGTGAACAACAGAAAATCGAAACAGGAAGCTTCTGGGACACCTCCACTAGTTGCTGCACACAGACAACACAAATTCACCTTTTCTGTTCCTGGCGTGTGGGTGACAAGGGCCAGGAGCTCAGCTGAGTGTTACAACAGGAGCTGAGTTTCTGATAGCACAGGGAGAGATTATTTCTAGACTTCAACTGGCCTGTCTTGGGGCTATTATCATGAATTTTTTTGGGGGGGCAGTGGTGCTGGGAATGGAACCCAGGGCCTGCTTCATGCTAGGCATGAACCCTTCCCTGCCCCAATATGGTGATTTTTTATATTGAGAATGACATATTAGGATTTTCAAAGATGACCCAGTCTCCCTAGGAGCTGGGCACCAAGTCTTTGGCATTCCCAGCCCTCACAGATTTCCTTACTAGGGCAGGAAAAAGTCAAGGGTGTGCCTTTAGGCATACTCAATGATATCTGATGCTGGAGGTGGTGGTCATGCCTATAATCCTGGCACTTGGGAGGCTGAGGCAGGAGGCTCACAAGTTCTATACCAGCCTGTGCTATACAGCAAGACCTGGTCTCAAAAAAAAAAAAAAAAAAAGTAGATAGAATTTTGTTCTCATCAGTGCCCATATGAGGTCTTTACACGTCACCTATGTTAACAGCATGGCCTTGCACAGCTCTAGGCCCGGGGGGGAAAAGGGCCCCTGAGGGTAGCTGTCAGGGAAGACAGGCCTCTTCCCTGCGCCTGCCAAAGGACCGCAGGCTCTCTCTGCACATCATACTAGAAGCAAAACCTCAGGCTGAGACCACAAGAGCACACCCTCAGCTTAGCACCTTGACTCTATACAGTTCAAAAAAAAAAAAAACTCACCACTGTGCTAGGCACAGAGGCTCACGTCTGGCATCCCAGCTACTAGTGAGGCTAAGATAGGGAGGACTGTGGTTTGAGGCCAGCCCAGCAAAAAGTTCATGAGACTCCATCTCCACCAATAAGCTGGGGTGGTGGTGCACACCTGTCATCTCAGAAATATAGGAGAAAGATCGTGGTTCAGGCTGGCTCCAGGCAAAGAAAGAGAGGCCTTATGGTAAAAAAAAAAAAAAAAAAAAAAAAAAGAAGAAACTTAAGCAAAAAGGGCTGGCGGAGTGGCTCAAGTGTGGAATACCTACCTGCCTAGCAACCACAAAGTCCTGAGTTCAAATCCCAGTCTCCTCCCCTACTCCCCGCAAAAAACAGATTGATAGCTGCAATAAAATTTAACCAGAATCAGATACTCATGGAGGCCATAGGTAGAGATTCGCTTTGGCGTTCAGCCAGTTTTCAGGGTTGACACCAAATTCAGACATGAGCACATTGGAAGACGTCAGGTGTGGGATCAGGGGCTGTGTTTCTGTTGCAATGTTTTTAGCTTCTGCGCAGTCCCTTGGTTCTCTGTGGCACTGGTATGAGATGTCTCCTTGCAGAGTGCCAGCCAGCAAGGCAGTGCAGGCAGGTGGCACCCAGGGCCAGGCTCCCTCCTGAGATGCTGAGTGAGCAGGTGCTTGGAGCGGGTGTGGGAAACACAGCCATCCTTGGGTTTCGCATCCATTTACAAGTTCAGTTCATCCAGAGCCACCCAGAGAGCACACCATGGTCACGGTGGCACCCAGGCTCTGGGCAGTGGGTTTGCTGCCAGCAAGGCCCTGCTGGGCCATGGCCAGAACTGCTGCTCTCCGGTCACGTGGTGCCGAAAGGGAACTTGCCATATTCTTGACAGTTCACGCAGCCTGTGAGGGTGGCTTCCAGCTCAACAGCGACTATGCACTGCTGCCTCGGAGAGAGGAGAAGTCTGCCTGTTTGCAGTGCCCCATGCTGTTTCGGCATGCTGACACTGAAAGGACCAAGTGGGGTCAGGGAAGAAGCAGTGCCCTTTGGACAGAGCCACAAATACTGCCCCAAGATGTCACTGTCCCTAGAAAGCAAGGGACTTCTCTCCAGGAGAGAGATCAGTCCTGTCCTCAGAGCTGGATGCTGGGGTCACTGTGGACATGGGAAGTGACAGAGGCGAGACTCAGAGGCCTCTCTGATGGCACGGTGACTCCAAAACATACCCAGACCAACAGAACAGGGACGAGGCCAGATTGTCCACTTACAACCCCGCACCAACATAAAAAGTTATTGATTCTGTGAAAAATCAGTCAGTGTAAGTCATCGTGTTAACGCCCTACAGAAAACTAACACGTCATAGCCACGAAGAAAAAGTGCCAGACAAGTTCAACTTCAGTATGGCAGAGACCCAGGAAACGTGCAGTGCAAGGGGCTTGCTTGTGAAAACCCTGCGGCTTGCTTCGCCCTTGGCAGTGAGGACTGGGGGGCTCTCCCCTGGGACTCAGGGCAAAGCAAAGATGCCCACTTGCTCACCACCCCCACTTTCCGCTCAAACTTAAGAATGAGTCCATGAAAACATGCACGGGATGCGTGTGTTAGAACTTCCAACCTGCTGATGAGCGAAATCAAAGATGGCCGAGGTGAAGAGAATATACCATGTTCCTGGGTTGGAAGATGAGACATCAGCTCTCCCCAGGCTCATGTGCAGATCGCATGCAATTTAGTCAAAATCCCAGTAGGATTTTTTTTTGGTAAATATAAACTGACTGGAAACTCACATAGAAACTTTAAATTTATATAAATAGCCAACATAATCCTGAAGTGTAAGTTGGAAGGAAGCCCTTTCTTTGATTTTAAGACTTACTGTGACACTGTCGTTGAGACAGTGTGTCACTAGCAAAGGAACAGACATAGGGATCAATGGAAGGCAACTTCCCAAAACAGAGCCACACGCAGGTGGCCAGCTCATTTTTGCAAAGATACAAAGTAACCCCATGAAGAAATGAGTTGTGTGTGTGTGTGTGTGTGTGTGTGTGTGTGTGTGTGTGTGTGTTTGTAAGTAAATGCTGTTAGAACAACTGCTCATTTCATATTAAAAGATGATGGTATGCACCTTGCAGGTCAAAATGCAAAATGTAGAACAACAAAACTTTTCAGAGACAATAGAAGAAAATCTGTATGACATGCAGATAGCTGGAGAGGTTCCAGACATGATGTCACAAGCACAGGCCAAAAAAAAAAAAAAAAAAGATAAATTGGATTTGAGCACAATTAAACATTCTTTTTCTCTACAAAACACACTCTTTAGAGAATGGAAAGACATGCTACACGCTGGAAGAAAATATTTTTACATCACATATCAGACAGTCTTGTATCCAGAATGAAGTAAGAAAACAACCAACCAGTTAACAAATGACCTGAGCAACTCTTCACTGAAGAGTAGCCACAGCCTGGCTCTGGTGGCTCACGCCTGTAATCCCAGCTATTTAGGAGGCAGAGATCAGGAGGATCGCAGTTCTAAGCCAGCCCCAGGCAAATAGTTTGAGAGACCCTATCTCGAAAAAGCCATTCACAAAAAAGGGCTGGTGGAGTGGATCAAGGTAAAGGCCCTGAGTTCAAATTCCAGTACCATTTAAAAAAAAAAAAAAGAGTAGCCATAAAGGCAGAAAAGGAAGGGACTAGCTGCTTATTGTCACCAGGTACAGAGAAACCACCATGAGTTGCACGGACACCACAATAAAGGCTGAGGCCACCAGGTGCAGGTAAGAAGAGGAGCTCCTGCACCTCTCACACGTTGGTGGGGAGGCCGGTGGCAGCGCCACTTGGGGACACTGTCAGGAACACACTCACAGCGGGAGTCAGCAATTCTACTCACAGGCATTTACCCCAAAGAAAGGAAAACCCGAAGTCCACAGGAAAACCTCCTCCTGAGTACCTGGAGCTGCTTTCTTCCTATTGGCTTCAACCTGGAGACCTTGCCAGTGCCCCTGGCTAGGGACTGGGTACACAGGCTGCTGGGTGACAGAATGCTACTCAGCCACCAACACAGTCACAAGATGAGACAGGTATGCATAGTGTGAGGGAGTCTCAAAGGCACCACACTGAGTGAAAGGAGCCAGTCTCAAAAGGATTCCAGTCCTGTGACACACCCAGAAAAAATCCAACCATAGTGACAGAGGACAAACTGGCAGTTGCCTGGGGCAGTGGGTGGGGGGAACCCCTGACTTCAAAGCAATACTAGGAGGGCGTTTTCAGGGTGACATGCTGCATGTCACTGAGGGTGGGGGGTGATTACAGGAGTCTAGATTAGTGTCAAATCCCACAGGCTGCTACCAGAAGGTCAAATTTACTCTGCATTCATTTACCAAAAAACCCACCAAAATAACCATCAGTGGGGATAACTTGAGTTTAAAGCAGGTCAGCGAGGATGGAGTCTGGGGTGGGAACAAGAACAAACGCACCATGGTCTGGAGGCGCGTGGCTTCTTGTCTGGTTCAAGCCAGTTTTCCCATCAATGAAATGACCTACACCCCCAGGATGCTGGTTGTGACAATGATGATAATGACGATGACACAGCCACAGCAGGGCCCACCAGTTCAATATTCACGAGAGCCCCATGACCTCTTCTTTTTTACCATTGGCAAACTGAGGTTCAAGGAACCCTACACACCTGCCACAGATACCATGGCCTGTCTGTGGCTAGTAGGACTCCAAGCCGGGGCGCCTGGGTGCCCAGTGTCCAGGCCCATGGGCTGCTTCCTACTCACCATCCTGTTGCTGCTTCTGGGAGTCTAGCAGGGTCCACCCTGTGGGCCCCAGGGCCCTTGTACATACCGTGGCTGGCGAGGAGCGGGCAGTGTGAGCCAGAGAGTGTCTCGTGCCGTCCATCCCCCCGTGGATGAGGTAGGCTCCCGCGCTGGACACAATGGGGCTCCCCCCAACATCCATGGTGATGCCCACCATGCTGTGGGAGGGGACTGCTGGAGGGGACGAGGCTGCCACCGTCACCTGGGCGCCTCCCGGGGCCTCGAAGTAAGAAGCCGCGCTGCTGGGGGCGTACATCTGAGGCTCAGGGTTGTAGGCATAGGCCGTCCGTCTGTCAGAAAGAGAGAAGGCACTCTGGGGTCCTGGCCCGTTTAGACACCTCATCCAAGTTTAAAGGAATTGGCAAAGCTCCATGTGGAAGCTGGAGCCCCAGGAGACTGAGCAGCTGGAGCCAGTCGGACACGGTATAGGAAGTTCAAATGCAAGGAACAGTTCAAAGCCATCCTGTTGGAAAACATTCAGGATCAGACTGACTAATGGAAAATGGCTCAGAGAATTCTGAGTGAATAGGGAGCTACTTAGTGAAGATGGAATTGTGTGACACAGTTCTGTGTCATCGGTCATGGTTCCATGAATCTGTATGTGGGATAAAGCTGCATAGACACACACACACACACACACACACACACACACACACACACACACACGAATGTATGTAAAACCAGTGAAACTGAATAAAGCCTGTCCAGTGGTTACAGTCCTGTCCAAGGTCAGCTTCCTGGCTTAGACATCCTGTTGTCACACAAGATGCCATACCTGGGACAAGCAAGGGGCTCTGTGTACTAATTTTGCAGCCTCCTGTGAGTCTATATTATTTCAAAACACAAATCCTGAAAGGGAAATTGCAGGCTAGGTACGGTGGCTCACTTCTGTAATCCCGTTTACTCAGGTACGGTGGCTCACTTCTGTAATCCCGTTTACTCAGGAGGTGTAGCTGTTTGGGAGGATCGCAGTTCCAATGTGGCTCGAGCAAAAATAAAGTAAGTGAGACTCCCATCTCAACAACAAAAAGCCGGCCTGGTGTTGGGTATCTGTCATCCGAGCTATGAGGGAGCTGTAAATAGAGGATCACGGTCCAGGCCAGCTGGGCAAAAACATGACACCCTCTCTGAAAAATAACCAAAGCAAAAAGGGCTGGCGGAGTGGCTCAAGCGACAGAACGCCTGCTTAGCAAGTACAAGACCCAGAGTGCAAATCCCAGTACTGCCAAGAAAAAAAAAATTCAGACCCAGTGTGGTGACACACGCCTGTAATCCAGCACTTGGGAAGCTAAGGCAGGAGTATCTCAAGTTCAAGGCCAACCTGGGCTACTCAGTGAGACCCTGTCTCCAAAAAAACAGAAAAAAATGAAATTGCAAAATTGAAGTAACTTGTAAGCAATGCCAGGCAACACCCGGATTAGGACTGCACACCACACACTGGGACTAAAACGAGGAAATGACACGTGAGCAGGGCCAGTCGTGGTACAGGTGGCTGGTGGTGGCTTTTTCTTATGGGTAAGGACTAGCAATGTGTCCTGAGGGGTGCTGCTCTGACCTCTCGGAGGCATGCACTCCTGTCCCCCAAGGTGACACCTTTCATCTCTAGTACAACGTCAAAACCAGGAAAGTGGCCTTGGTTTGACTTCAGCAGTTTCTCATGCATTCGTTTATATGTGTTTGTTTTGAGTCCTTCAGCGACCGGCTTTGGTCGCTGCGAAGTCACAGCCAGACCCTCACATACAATCCTGCACTCATGATGGAGTTGTCAAAGCCACACCAAAGCCATGTGCCTCAAGTCAAATGAGCTGCATGGGAAGTGTACAGTTAGGGTAGAACATTCTAGAAGTCCTTAGTCAGTTATGGAGGCACACGCCTGTAATCCCAGAGGCTGAGGCGGGAGGAGATAGAATTTGAGGCCAGCCTGAGCTACATAGTGAGACCCTGTATCAGAGAGAGAGATTGTAGAAGTCCTTGAAAGGTGGAAATCCAAGTTTTATCAACAGCCTAAGAAGCTGGAGTGGAAGAAAGCAAGGATAAGAGGGCAAGCAGGGAGAGGCTTCTGGATCCCCAACCTTTAGACTTAGAACCTGGATTAATTAGTTCAGGGTTTTGTGGCTTTGATTTTTTTTTGTGTGCTACTAGGATTTGAACTCAGGGCCTCACGCTTGCTAGGCAAGTGCTCTACCACTTGAACCATTCTGCCAGACTGCTTTTGTGGTTTTTAAAGACAGACTCTTCTAGAAGTGAAAAGCGTAAATCTCCGCATATAATACCGACACCAGCTCCATGGCGGGTAGGGAGGCATTTGTTCAAAGGCGCCCAGGTGGGGAAGGGAGGGCGCGGTGAGCGCTGGGCGTGGCCCGGGACACATACATGGCTCCATTCGTGTAGACGGCGTCTCCCCCTTCCACGTACTGCACCTGTGCTGGGTACACGTGCTGGACCTGAAACAACACGTGGGCGTCACAAACGCTGCTTTTCTCTTCATCATTTAAGATGCCTTCTATCGCGCGCCATGTTACGTCCCCTCCCGCGAGGAAAGGCAGCCATGTAAAGATGCTATATTCTGTCCGGTGCGCTGGTTCACGCCTGTAATCCCAGCTACTTGGGAGGTCAGCCTGGGCGGAAAGTGTGAGACCATGTTTGACAAACAAAGCAAAAAGGACTGAAGGTGTGGCCCAAGAGTTAAGAGTGCTTGCCTAGCAAGCATGAGGTCCTGAGTTCAAATTCCAGTTCCACCAAAAAAAAAAGTTGCCATCCTGCAGCCAGCCCCAGCTGCTGACAGAGATGTCTGGATCCCCAGAATTTTGCTGGGTTTCCTGTGAGCTGTAGTTCTTTTCTGTTCTCATGCCCAGGGAACACAAGGTTGACACCCCTAATCTGTGCTCACAGGGGTAGGCTTGGATGGTGACCCGGACCTTGCAGTACTGGAGGGCCTGACCCAAGCAGAGAGGGTGTGGTCTGTCGCTGCTGGTGGTTGGTGCTTGTGCCTCTTCCCAGCAGAAAAGAGGAAGGGGGTGAAGGTCAGAGCCCCGTTGGGAGCAGCAATGAGATGGGTGGGGTGAGGGGACCCAGTGCACCCCACCGGCCTTGTCCCTGCCCTCCATGGAAATGCCAGCTCAGCCCTACATGCCAGCGTTTTGCATGTGGGACTTCAGTCCCTCCTTGCAGAGGGAATCTCTGTGTATGTGCAGTACTGGGATTTGAACTCAGGGCCTCACATTTGCTAGGCAGGAGCTTTACCACTTGAGCCACTCCACCAGCCCCTGCAGAGGGAATCTTAAGGGAGGCTGGGGCCTAGCCAACTTAAGGGTGAGGCTTGAGGGCCCCAGCACTGGGACCCCACCTTCCAGGACTGCTTGGTCTACATTTGCCCAGCCACAGCCCTGGACCACAGGCTCCAGTGTTACAGCTCACTGAGTGGCGTCCCCCAGGGACCAGGTGAGACGTGGAAGTGTCGCCTGGGAAGTCCAAATCACCCACAAAGAGCAGGGGCAGGCCCAGCACCCTGCAGAGTGGGAGAAGCTTCTGGTATCACTTCCGGTCTGAAATGATGTCAGTGGAGAGACCCTTGACAGTTTTGTTTTACAGAATTTCCAGAACTTTCCATGTAACCACAGTAAAGACTGCACTGGCCAGGGCTGGTTGTGGAAGGGGCGGCCCTTACCTGCTGTGGCACCAGCTGAACTCTGGGGAGGGCGATTGGCTGCATGGGGGTTCCTTTGGGCACAGAGCCCACAGCCTGGACCAGCACCCTCTGCAAGGGAAGGGAGGGGACAGTTAGATCCACAGAGGCTGGAACTCAACAGAGTCCATCTATAGCCACCCCTGCCTACCTGGTGCCAAGGTCCCACAGGGAACAGGTGGGACTGACACAAACACACACCACGCTCCAATGGTGGGGACACGGGAAGGTACGCGTGACACACAAACAGCTCACATGTGTCCACGGTGTGACTGTACACACTGAAGGACACGTGTGGGGCACACTGATGCACATACACCTCTGCCCAGTCCCTAGACTCTGTTTGCATGGAGTCTGTGGTTGGTGACAAAGTAACACTGACTGTCCCTCACATAGAAGGCACTGGTGAGTGAGGACGGGGACCCTGGACCAGTAGTTTGCAACCCTGCCTTCACTGGACTCGTCTCTACTCTGTATGCAAGGGAACATGGAGCCCAGAGTGGCTGAGGTGCGTCTGCCATCTCTGGATGCTCAATTTGAGAACCAGGGCTCCACCTGCAGGTCTCTTGCTCCAACCCACTGCTTTCTGGCTCGGAGGACTGACATGTCTATGAACACGTGAAGGATCAAAAGGGAAGGGACCCAGGGGACAGGAGATGGACAGCAGCTGTGTTTAGAGCTGGGCTGTGTGTCAGACTGAGAGGCTATAGCTTTCCCTGGGAACACTGAGTGTCACTGGTTGTGATTCCTGCCTTACAAACACCATTGGATGTGGACATTTAAAGATGTCACTATAGCATGAGGAAGCCCCTGATAAGGACAGTGGGTGCAGGGTGCATGTCTCACAGAGCTGGCCCTGGGGACTAGGGTTCCTAGGGACTGGTCGTCATAGCTAATAACCAGAGGCACAAACAACACAGGCAGCTCACACACCAACAGATGAATGGCAAGGTCAATCCACACTCTGGAATATTACTCAGCCATGAACAGGAGGAACACTGACCCATGCTATAAGGAGGGACCTTGAGGACATGTGCTCAGTGAGAGAAGGAGACACACAAGGCACACAATGGAGACACACAGTGTGACGCTATGGATAGGAAACATCCAGAACAGGAGGATCCATAGATGGGAAGTGGACTTGTGGGGGCCAGAGGTTGGGGAAGGGAAGGGATGACTGCTTAGGGGACAGGCGTGCTCCCGGGATCATGTATGATCTGGAACTTGGTAGAGGGGATGATTGCACAAATCTGACTATACTGAAAACCAGTGAATTGTTCTCTTTAAAATGGTTAATTTTATGTTGTGACTTTTAGGTCAATTGAGAAATAAAGACAATTAAGAGTTGAGCTGGGCAAAGCAGTGTGCACCGTTGCCTTAGCTAATTGGAGGCTGAGGAGGCGGATCACTAAAACCCGGAGTTCAAGGCCAACCTTCAAGGGCAATATCACAAGACCTGTGTCAATCAACCAACCAACCAATAAAAGAGAAGGAAGGAGCATTAGGGTTTTATTTGCACACTAATGATGAGTAGCTTCATAGTCGTGTGGCCACTTAAACAGAGAAATCTAGCGAGACTGAACTCAGTGGCAAACAGGCCCCAGACACACAGGCACTGCCAGTGCTTGGGGCCCCCGGGTGGCGGTGGCCCAGCAGGATCTCAGAGAAGAGCGGCCACAATAGAACCCAGGAGGCTGTGGTGACCACGGCAGGGAGGCAGGGTTCAGTGTGCAGAGGAAGGCAGTGTCACCAGGACCAGGCGGCTGAGAGAGGGGTGTGGCCAGGGGCAGCAGAGGCAGCCAGGTAGGGAGGGCTGGCTCTCCTGGCCCCCCCGATGGGCTACCCTGTTTGCAAGAAGTCAAGGCTAAAGATGGCTTCTTCTCATTCGTGCAGACCAGTGCTCCACGGCTGCCTTGTCGCATTTGCTCAAGTAGCCTCTGTCCTCTGCTGGGCCCCAAATGGTCACTTCATACACTGCGGATGGCCTGTGGCCACAGTGGGCCTGAGCACACTCTGAGCTTCCAGTCTGCTCCACATGGTTTGTGCACATCCTTCACACACGTTGGCCTTACAGCTTACTTACAGCCATGGTAGGCACCCAGAAGCAGAAGAGAGCCTGAATGTAAAATTAATCTCTCTGCCGATTTTATTTGATTTTATTTATTGACTTTTTGCTTTAGTTATTTTTCAGATAGGATCGCCTGCTTTTTTGCTCAGGCTGGCTTCAGACCAGTGCCTCCCACTGCTGTGATTACAGATGCTCACTGCCATGCCTGGCTTGTTTGTTGAGATGGGGTCTGGTTAACTTTTCCTTGTTTTTGGCTCAGGCAAGCCTCAAACCACAATCTTCCCCATCTTTGCCTCCCAAGTAGCTGGGATTATAGTCATGAACCACTGATTCAGCCATTCTCTCTGCCAGGTTTAAAGAACATATTCACCTTCTAATGCTAGACTTCATTTTCAACCAAATTCTAAGAATTCTAACTTACCTTTTGAACAAAGCCTTTCTAAGTAAAAGTGTCATTTCCAAGAGACAAGCAAACTTCAGCTGAGAGGCAGGAAGGGACTAAGTTGAATTTGGGACAGGAGTGGGTAGTTTCTTACTAATTTGTACTATTGTTTTCTTGGTGGGACCTTTGTAACAGTAGTAAAAGCCACGTGGCGTGGCCGTGTTAGCAGCCCTGGTCTCGGGACTGAGAATCCATCCACAAGTACACAGCTTTCTTTCTCTGCAGATCCACAAAGGGGCCGTATGGCAAGGCAGAGCACTGTTACCTGTGGGGATGCTGGCACAGGCTGGGCAGCTGCCGTGGGACGCAGAGACACGGACGCTGGTGAATCCGATCCACTCTCGGAGTTCTGCATGCTCAGGTCTAGAGATGGAGAGAGAGCAGTGGGCGAGAGCTGAAGCCGGCAGCATAGGGCGAATGGCCACGACCTACGCTCTTCCAAGTCCAAGTGCAGACAGTCTGGTGGTCAGGGTAGTGACAGGCGAAGGGAAGAGGGGAAGGAGCAGAGAGTGCTCTTCCAAATATAGCCCCCTAAACGCTCTATGTCTTTGCACAACATCAAGAATTCCCAATGGGGGGGCTGAGGGAATGGCTCAAGTGGTAGAGCTTGTGGCCCTGAGTTCAAATCCCAGTACCGCCAAAAGTACTGACTGGCTTTTTCTCCATCCCCACTAACCAGGCTGAGCTATTTTCAAGGGTCAGGCAATTGTTCATTCACCTTCCACACAAATCAAAAGCTCTTGAGGGATGCTCGCCACGGGGAGCTACGGTGCCCCATACTGCAGCTGATGAAGTCCTGAGGCTGGGTTGTCCCCTGAGCACCAGTGGCGTGGGGGCTGTTACCGCCATGTTAAGGGGAAGTGTGCCTGGCTGCTACACTCCCCCAAGTCATGACAATCAGGAATGTCCCCAGACACTGCCCAATGTCACCTAGGAGGCAGGATCACTCCCAGTAGAGAACTGCTAGCCTAGGGACTAAATAGTGATCCAGAGACAGACCAATGAAGGGCACATTTTACCATGGGCTGGGCAGAAGTGCTCACGAATGTTGGCAGTAAGTAAAAACCACCCTCTGTTTGTAGAAACCCATGCCCACATGAAGTGTAAAAGTGTATCTTTCTGCTGTCACATGTACACATCTTTCAAACAGGGAGTTTTAAAATCCTATATAAAAAAGCCAGTGTGGTTGTGCATTCCTGTAATCCCAGTTCCCCGGGAGACAGAGGTGGGAGAATCTTGAGTTCAAGGACGGCCTAGGCAATGTTAGCCAGACTCTATCTCAAAAAAAAAAGCAAACAAAAGGTCTGGAGTGTGACCCCAGTCTCAGCACCAGAAGAGGAGACAAAAATACTGGGGACTTAACCCAGTGTCTCCAGCCTGTGCTCTTGCCACTTGAGCCACATCCCAGCCCTAAAAGTCAAACTTTTAAATAAACCGGCGCTACACTGAGCACGTGAGAAGCCGTTAAAATATCCACACTTAAGCGGGAGGTGTCTTGTGGACCGCACGCCTGCCACCTGTACTGGTCCTAGCTCAGAGGTGTCACCCGCAGGGTGGGGTCTCCCGCACTCCACACACACATCGCAGCGCCCACCACACGGTCAGAGCACAGCAGATGAGAGCTAGAATTTGAGTCTGTTTGTCATCAACCCTTCCCACCTCCAACCAGGAGTGAAAATTTAAAAATATTTTTAAAAGCCTGCTTTTCCAATGAAGTGAAGCCGCTGATGGGATAAAGGTGTTTGCTTAAGGAGATCAGAACGGCGCGTGTTCGGATGGATGCCAGGGCGCTGGTTGAACCCCAGCCCTGACTCCCGTTCACCCCCACCGCCTTTGGTGTCACCAAGAGCGGAGGGGGGCGGGGCCTGGCGCGCCTGCGGCTTTTTCTGCTCCGAGCGCTTACCGGTCCCCGCCGCTAGATGGCGCCCGAGCCACGCCGCCGCCGGCTGGGCCGGTGCCTGACACTTGGCTTCCTTCAAGTCAAAACGTGGGTGGTGTGGGAAGGGCCTGGAGGAGATCATTTGACTAGGGCTCTTCACGAGGAGAATGGAGGAAGCTGGCTCAGTGGAGACCAGGTTCTTGTGCCCGAGATGGAAACGAGCGGGCTCCACAGTCCAAGTTTTTTTTTTTTTTGGGGGGGGGGGTACTGGGATTTGAACTCAGGGCCTACACCTTCAGCCACTCTACCATCCCTCTTTTGTGATGGTCTTTTTCAAGATAGGATCTCACGAACTATCTGCCTAGGCTGGCTTTGAACCGTGATCCTCCTGATCTCTGTCTCCTGAGTAGCTGGGATTACAGACGTGAGCCACTGGTGCTGGCTCTAAGTCTTATTTCATTGAGGGAGCCTGAGACAGTGTTGGGGACAGATGGAGAGACTCGCTCTGCCAGCATGCCCCTTCTAGACTATGAGTCACCCCACATCATAGGAATATTGGTGGTGAGTGTTCCCTGTTTACCATGTACTCTACAGGTTGTGGGGAGTCTCTGGATTTTGCTTGGCACACACCCCAGTGCACATGAGTGGGTGGCAGAAGGTAGCAGCCTGATGGCCCTAAAGTGTCAGGGGACAGAGTTCAGGGTGCTGGGGACTGGACTGTTTGGAAGACAGAGCCACGGAGGGGCGCACCTCTACATCTGCCTACAAGAGCCACTCAGGTCGTTGGCTAACTGCCTAACCCACCCAGGTCGGGGGTTGTACCAGGGCTCTCAGGGAAGAGTCGCAGCTCAAAGATGAAAAACAGAATGAAGGTTTGAGCCCACTGCCAGGGACAGTGTTTGAATCCTCAGATTCTTCAATGTATCGTTCATGATGACCAGGACCCAGTAAAAATGAGGAACTACGAGAAGAAACAGCAAGAACGTAGTAACCCCTGCTAAAGAAAGGGCTGGTGGAGTGGCTCAAGGTGAAGGCCCTGAGTTCAAACCCCAGTACTGCCCAAATAAAAAAGGATGGATCACTGAATAGCTGATCTGGGGAGCAGATGAGGAGCACTTAAAGGTACTGAGAGAATGTTCAAGAACTTAAAGGAAGCTATATATCCCATAAATGAACAAATAGGAATCTCAACAAGAGACAGAAGTTATGAAAAAAACAAACACATTCTGAATAGCAAATCTCTGCACATTTCAGAAGAGTGCACCATACAGGGCACTTATGTGCTTTGATTACAATGGGAATAAGACACCAAAACAAGATAGTTAGAAAAATGCCGTAAGAGTTGGAAAATTTAAAACATACTATTAAAATTAGCCAGGTGTGGTGGCTCACGTCTGTAATCCCAGCTACACGGGAGGTGTAGGTAGGAGGATTTCCGTCTGAGGACAGACAGCCTGGCACAAATCATGAGAACCTACCTACCTAAAAAATATTTAAAGCAAACAGGATTGGGGGGATGCTCAAGTGGTAGAGCGCCTGCCTGGCAAGTGCAGGGCCCTGAATTCAAACCCCAGTACTGCCAGAAAATACATAGCCGGGTGCCAGTGGCTCATGCCTAGCTACTTGGGAGGCAAGATCAGGAGGACTGTGGTTGGAAGCCAGCCCAGGCAAACAGTTCGCCAGACCCTATCTGAAAAAAAAAAAACCCAACATAAAACAGGGCTGGTGGAGTAGCAAGTGGTAGTGTGCCTGCCTAGCAAGTGTGAGGTCCTGAGTTCAAACCCCAGTGCTGCCAAAAAGTAAATAAATAACAAATTACCTGTAGGTCAGAGAATAAGCCAAAAGGGAAAGTAGAAAATTTTTGACTTGAAAGACTATGAAAACAGCACAAACTGAAAATTTTGGGGTGCAGCTAAAATAGTAGTGAGAGGGAAAAGGATAGCTTCCTAGTAGTCATTTACATTTTTGACCTTAAGAAGCTATAAAGACAGCAAATTAAACTTAGTTACATGGAAAAAAGAGAAAATAACAAAGGCCCAAATTAATGATAAAGTCTTCACAAACCAGGGAGACCGTGAACGCACACGCATCAGGACAGAAATGCCCCATCAAGCAGGAGAGATGTGGTGAAAGGAAGCCTGGGTTCCCAAGGGAAAGGCGCCCTCGGAAGGTTGCGTGCCGCATAATGCCAGCTAGAGGACATTCTGGAAAGGCACCGCTGATGGTAGCAGGAGGGAGGGATGTGTCAGGCAGGGAGGTTTCAGGGCAGTGAAGCTACTCTGTGTGACAGTAGACTGGTAGACACATGCCACTGTACATTTCTGCAAACCCACAGATGCGTGTCCCCAACAGTGAGCCTTAATGTGAACTGGGGACACTGGGTAACAAGGATGCGTCAATGCCTATTCCATGGATTGTAGCAAAGGTACCCTTCTGGAGAGGGATTTTTTTTTTTTTTTTTTTTTTTTGCTTGCTAGGCAGGCACTCTACCACTTGAGCCACTCCACCAGCCCTGTTTTTTGTTTTGTTTTGTTTTGAGTTTTTTCAAGACTGGGTCTCACAGAACTATTTGCCCAGGGCTGGCTTCGAACCATGATCCTCCTCATCTCTGTCTCCTGAGTAGCTAGGATTACAGCGTGAGCCACCGGCACCCTCTTAGTGTGGGATTTTGATAGTGAGAGAGGTGACACTTTTGTGGAGATGGGGGGGTATATGGGAATACATTCCTCTATGAAGCTAAAACTGCCCTAAAAAAATTGACAACCCCCAGAAAGACTGATAGAAAAAGAAAAATTAAGAAACCCAACAAATTCTCAATATTAGGAATAAAATGAGATGTTCAGGTCCTTTAGAAATCAAAACAACACTAAGAATCCTCCATAAACAACTTCAGATCAAATGAACATCTTTTATGAAACTACTGACACAAGATGAAATAGAAACTGTGAGTGTCACTCCTACAAAGAAAACTTTAGGCACGCAGTTTCACTACTGAATATCAAGTACTGAAAAAAAATTGATATACAGATTCCATCAGAAAACAGAAAATGAAATAACTGCAATTCACTGCACAAAGTCAGAAACAAAAGTCTTTTACACAAGTGTACTGGATCAGTATCTATATACTGAGTGGGAAAAATGAACTGGTTTCAAGTTAGATCACAGACTTATACAGAAAGCCCTTTACAAAACTTCTAAGAGGGAAAAAATAGGGTGTTGAACAAAGTTTTTTTTAAAACAAGATACAGAAGGTAATAAACATTACGGAAAAACTTGGTAAGTACCATTTCATCAAAATTTAAAACCTCTGCTAGTTAAGACTTCATTAAGATCAAGGCCAGGTAAGCCACTGTGTGGGAGAAAATATTTGCAAAACATGTACCTGATAAAGAACTTCAATCCATAACACGGAAAGTGCCTACAATTCAGTAATAAGGAAACAAATAACCTAACAGGAAACACGGGCAAAAGATGTGAATAGGCA